GAATTCCTCGTAGTCACCACACCTTTGTGATTCCTGAACCTGGAGGGGCGCAAAACCAAAATTGAGTGGGTCAGTAAAACAATTCTTTTCCAAATCCAAACATTTCTCAAAACGTTGTAACCCCTCTCCGTAAAACCTGTATACTTTCCCAGAAATGTAAAATATAAATATACATGTATATTCTCAAAACTTCAATTCACTTTTTCAACATTTTTCATATCAGTTATGCCATGCCATGTCTAAAATCAACAGTTAAGTATGGATGCATCAACAATAATCATCATATCAGGTGCAAGAAAGTAATCAACCGGAGGCCCTCTAATAGCCCTGCACGGTTGAACCTAGAGCTCAAAATCTATCACTCTCACTCTGCCGGAGTCACCTCTGTGACCTGTCCGGCCTTCTGCACACAAGTTACGCTCTAGTGCTTTCTCATCAATCATCTGTGCACATAATCTAAGGTCACCCACCAGTCGAAATCTCACTAACACTCTTTCGACTGGCCCGTCGCACCCACTCCGCGTGGACTGTGCGACCAGCATCTACTTGGATCCAAGGCGAGCGTGCGATGCGGTGAATACTATAAGCACTAAACCATGGTGCAGGATTTGAGCTCAATATATATCAACATCATCATAACAGTATTTAAATACTCACCTGATACTCACCTGTGCGTCCGCCGCACCAATTCATACATATGCATCATATATCAATTCATATCCTTTCATGCATGGCAATTCGATTCACGTTTTTCATATAATTCTATATACTTTTCGCATACTTCTATGCATGGCATTTCAACTAATATATCTCATATACTTTTATACATTTTCATTTAAATCATAATTTCATGCATTTTCAATTTCTGGGAAAACGGAAAACGGCAAGTATATATGTATACGGAAAACAAAACTGCCCACTCACAGATTACATCGATGTCTCGTAAGTCCCTGAGCATCCCTTGGCCATGCCTGATGCCCGCATAAACCTCACCTATACAAAAGTAACCAATTTGACGTTATTTAACGCCTAACCCAAATCTTAGTTAATAACTCCTCATATATTGCTCAAATTGGGTATATGAATATACCACCGTGACCTACACAACCTCAGGATCATCCCCATATTTTTAAAATAATTTTTGGAGGTCTCACGCGCCCCCACGCGCCTGACGTGGCACGGACCTACGCGCCCCCACGCGCGGCCACGTGTCGTGCACACTGACGGTGTCAATTGACGCCGTCAGGAATATTCCGTTAAAATCCCGGAATATTCCGTTAACTTAACCGGATACCGTTACTGCCGTTAGGAATATGCCGTTAAAAATAACGGAATATTCCTTCTTCTTCTCCGGTCGTCCCTCGCCGGACTCCGGTCACCGGAAACTGGGGAATATTTCAAATCCACTATTCTCCTTCGTTTTTTCATCCAAATTTCTCGAATTTTACACCCATTTGAAGCCCTAAACATCTACTTTCACGTTGGACTAGTTTTAGGGCCTAAAAACTACGAGATCAAACTTTTCAAAAATTCAAGAAATCGGCCAAACTTACAACTCGTGATCCCGACGTCCAATCCATGCCAACGAAGCACTCCGAGCTTCCTTGTGACTTCCTAAAGCTCACTGTGAGTTTGGTTTCACCTAAAACAAAGCCAATTCGAAGTTCATGAACAGTGCTCTTCACGGGAACTTTGAAACTAGGGTTTTTCCGAAGCAAAACTTACCTGAAATGGATACCATCGTGATCGTGGAGGTTCCAGGAGTTTGATGGTGGTCTTAACTCCATCGTTGGTAGAAGTTTAGGGTTGTTTTGTGGTTGGTTTGTTCGAACGGAGAAGAAGAGTGACAGAGAGAGTGAGAGAGTCGTGAGGGAAGAGAGAGAGACAGTATGCAGAAAATAGGGAGAGGATTTAGGGATGTGGGGATCCCTCATGGTCCTTTTCCAATCCCCAACTCCAAACCACAAAATTTTAACCTAAAAATCTAAGTTCCATCCTTAATAAATTCCATTTTATTTTCAAAACTTAGGAACCTAGATAATTAACAACTTGAGCTTCACATACTTAGTATTTCTTAAGGGCAATTTCGTCCATTCACAGCCACGAATGTAATATTTTGGAACGGGCTGTGACAGATTGGATGAGAAAAGTGCCGCCAAAACTTTTACCAAAAACTTTCATATGTGTTGGGGTTTAATTTTGGAATTTTTGGGGGAGATGCGGGAACTGTGGAATTGCAAAAGGAGAGAGGGTTTTTATTAAAACTCCAATTTTCTTCCTTACTGAATGATTTAAACCTAACTAATTGGGCTCTATCGTTTGATATTTTTTTTCTCTATTTTCATTTTCTTCTGTCTCATCTCGCTTTCTCTTGCTTTCTTTTGGTCATTCTGATAGAATTAAAAGCACACCACAAAGTAGCACACAAATGTCCTATTGATTTTCCTTATTAACACTAAGATTTTCCAATCGTAGCATATGAAAATAAGGGTCTTTCCCGCAAAATATTGTTTTATCTAACTACTTAAAATATCACAAAAATTGGGCTGTCCCTATTGACCAGCCACCGAAATATAATTATTAGACCGACTTACACTTATCTAAAGTCTACGAAATTTTATATGAAGATACTAGACACAGAGCTACACTCACACAAATTTTTGGGATTTTTGGAGTTGATTTGATATTTAAATTAAATCAAACAAAAACATGACAGAAACATATTTTAAGTAATAAAAATAGATTGTAATTCACAAGTTAAGAAAAAGAGTTGGGGGAATTACCATTCACCACCAAATAATCATGCAAACTTGTTATGTTTCATTCAAATTCCTTTTATTTCTAGATGAAGATGCTCAAGTTGGCTCAATGTTAGAACTCAACCTATTACTCTTTCATATGTAGGTCCTCATTCGACAAGAGCAGGCACACACATATCCATAGCATTATAATCCTACATATGCTTACTAAGTATGCATCCGTAGAAAACACATAAAGAATTCATCAATGAGACAAGTAGTGAATCAATTTTCATCTATTCATAAAAGTAATTCAAACGAAATGTCATAACCAACTTGCAATCACATTCGGGGCTTCAAAACAGCCCCTAACTACTAAAAATTTAGTTACACATAATTCTCAAATAAAACCAAAAGAAAGACATGAGTTTGAGAAGATAAAACCGAAAGAAGAGAATGCCAAGATTTCCTCTTTCCTTTCCTTCCTTCCCCAACGCTGCTGCCTTGCCTTTTTCCCTTCCTTTCCGCTGCAACCTACAACCTTCTTTTTTCTTTTTTCTTTTTTATTTTTTTACTTTGCCGCTGTAACCTGTAGCCTTTTTGTTCTTGCTTGCTGCCCCAGTTTCTTCTCTTAACTCATCCACTAATAGCCATTTAGTGATGACAATAAGTGAGAGGAAATGGTAAAACAATTGTAACTCTTTGGGTAGCCTTTATGCCAATTACTCCCTCTTAATCCTCATCTTTAAATCCATTTCCTCTGATATTTGAATAGGTGTCAGCTGGCTTGTTCTTGACCGTATCAGTTTTGGCTGCTAGATTTATTGGGTTTATTACTTTCATAGCAGTTACAAACTGCTCAGTCTCTTGCGAATCTTTCAGTGTTAAAACGGCCATAGCTTATTCTAGAAAAATGATATTAACAATCCGCGAAATGCTCCAGAAAGTAGACTTCTGTAGCTTTCCAAGAATATAAGGCTCATTCTCTAATTCATTCTGAGATGTTTGCAATTTGCTTCCAAAGTCAGCTGATCTGTACATGCAGTTTTGACGAATGTGTTACTTAAAATCCCACTTGTGCTATTTTTCTTTTCTTTGCTTGACAAATCCTACAAAATACAAAACCAAAGTAAATAGCTCAAAAATATAAGGAACTAACTAAGAAAAGACAAGTGAATTTGATGTAAAATATATATAAATATGAGCTTATCACATCCCTTAATTTCTTCCCTTCTTCATCCAACTATTAACCCACTATGGTAAGCAAAATCAAGTTTTATTTCTTCTTTTTAATCTATTCTTATCGTTTCTCCTTTTATACGAGTCATAATTTTTTGTTTATTTTTTTATTGATGAATTGATTTTACTAACTTAGGATTTGGTTTTTCATTTAAAGATTGAAGGCAGGAAGTGTGTGATCTTGAATGTAGGTTTTTCATTTCAAAAAATTCGTTGATAATTTTGGATTAAATTTTGTTTTGTTACTTATTGTCGTTTTCTTTTGTTTGATTTTGATATTATTTGTATTCTACTTTTATCCTTTGTAGTCAATTTTAAGGACTGCAGATTATTTGAACTTTGACCTTAATGTATTGATTAAAAATACTGCTAAAAAATACTAAGAATACATCACCACTATTATGATATTTATCATCATTTATAAGTGAGAGGTTTTATATTTGTTTTTCATCAAAGACGAATTTGAATTACATTATTGTTAACCCGTAAGGCTAAACCTACTCCACTGTTTGTTAAAAAAAAAAAAAAAATATATATATATATATATATATATAACATCAATAAATAGGGCGTGAATAGTGTACTAAAACGATGAGAAAAAAAAAATTTAGTAAATTCTTTTTAAGCATATCATCCCCTCGACTGCGATCCATGCCTTACTCAAGGTTTCTGTTTAATAAATGATTTTTTTGTTATGTCTTATGAACTTGCAACATTTTCAATTCGTTATATGAATTAAAGTTTTAATCCACTTCATATCAATTCTAACAAATCATTAATTTGTCATCTCACCGTAGTTCATCTTAAGTTTTCCATCTAATATAAGTTATGTGACTTATTTCGGGCATTTCAACTCCCTACTACCCTTTAAAATTGTTTCAGACATTTCAAGATTTAGAACATTTCCTTTTTTTTTATCAACATGATTGACCACGTTAAATTCTCAAACAGTGCTAAACATAACGCTAAACATTGGAAAATTTTCAAATTGTACGAAACGAAAAATAATTAGTAAAATTCAAGTAATACAAAGAATAATAAGAATTTCAAATTGCACTATATATAATTGTTGGCCACACAAGGCCAGTTAGCCAAAAAAAGGAGAAAAAAAAAACATCTTTATACAACAACATTCAAGCGTAACTCTTGTGACTTCCATATATACGAATGTACTTGTGACTAATCCGAAAAAGATGTGCACTTAAGGTTGATCAGTAACCTAACCAAGTGGATGGTAATGGCTGAAAATTGTTCTTTGCACAACCCAGCACATCATAATAATCTACATGATTGAAGCAGTCGCGAAAATCTGTGAAGAGCTTTTCAAACACCCTCCATTGGACTTTGATCGATCTTGAGTATGGGTACGGGAGAAAAACCTGCTCATTAGGAATGATTCAATGTACTAGCACCGCGTATCGAAGAAAATGAACACGTTGCAGCAACAATATAAACTTAATCATGTCTGTATCTTCTGCATTTCGACAGTTGTTATAGCAAGTATAGTAATTAATAGAAAAGATATGCTTACATCAGCCTCTTGTGCAAGACGTTTAAGTAATTGAAAAGTTTTCTCATTTTCCTCTAAATTGTCGAGAACAGCCAGCCAGATCTGGGAAGCAAGATCATGAGCCATGACCCTCGATTTCCCACAAGCAATAAACTGATCTGCTAAACACACAGTAATTCCAGGTCAGGAGGTCAAATGAGATTACAGCCTGGTATTACTTAAACTCAGCACAAGCAACAAAATTCCCCATCAGATTTCGTATGCAATCTGTATTATCATTGTCACATAACGGTGGACAATAAAAGGTTCAATATGTGTTTCATTACCACATACCGATGCTGAAATTCCAGAACATTAGATGGCATAATGGATCACAATTTGTGATACAAGTTTGAGGTTGTAAACTTCTACTTACATCATGTTATGTAAACCAAAACTTTTGAACATGTCCACAAGCTAGGAGCAAATGCAAGATTAACTAGCCTATATTGACTTTAAACCATCAAACTCGAGATCGGGGATCAATACTCAAATCACAAATTTTTATTTCACAGATTAATTTTCAGTTCCAGGTTTATAAAGGCAGAGAAAGCAAGATAGAGAAGTGAAATTTGAAACACACCTATGAGGGTTCCGTGCAGTATACTAGAAGAGGGTGGCATGGTTGAACGCTCAAGCTGCTCTTTTAGAAACATAAAACTATGGCCCACGATCTCATCAATCTCGCCATCCAGAGAAAATATATGTTTACTGACATATAAAGCTTCAAATCTCCTGCGAAAATTTCCAGTACCTTAGCAGAATATAATGCATGGATATATGATGATAAGCACAGGCATCAAATCAGCACCTAGGGGAGAGTAAGAGCTACAGTTTAAGATATGAATCGAAAACGTCCAGGCACAAGTCATAACATGGTCTTTAATAAGATGCCAACAAATCAAGCCAAGCCAAAAGTTGTCGTTTGATTTAATTTTCAAGCAGGAAGTTAGAACAGGAAAAGGAATTTGTCCTTAAGGCAATGACTAGATATAGACCATCAGTGATTATATTGCATTTTTTTCAGAACAACAAAATATGAAAACTCAGACGAAAAGAATTACTAAAAGAGAGGGAAAAAAAGGGATTGAAGCAGACATGTTATTGTACCTCTTGCTCAATCCTCGAGGGATAGGTCCCGGCCACCTTTTAGCTTGGCTAGCCAAAGGAAATGTCATAGCAAGAGCAGCTTGCCACAAGAGTTCTCCGTGAAACAAATTGGCCCACTGTTTTTTAACGCAGGAGATTTGTGCCCACTCTGAGACAGGAACTCGGATGAAAATTTCTATTACGAGATGATCAGGAAGCTTTCCGAACAAATTATCAACTGACATTAACCTGTCATTTTGATTGTTATCTGTCATTAGAGCCCTGCACTGCAAGAACCAAAAACGTAACAAGTTACTTCAACAAGAAAATCAACAAAATGAACTAATCTTCATTAAAAACAAGGCCATATTTATGTTTATGAACAAATGCAAAATTTTTTAAAGCACAGAAAGTTCCGAAAAGAAGAATAAACCCTTAAGGGCAGATACGTAGTTATGTCATAGAAATTCAAATACTCCATCAATAGTCCCAAAGCTATTGAAAGAACCAATCCGTCATCCAAAAGGGTCAAATTGGGAAAAGTAACTCATGGAAGGAAGATGAATGAACAGTGTAATGACAACATGAAGAGGCACTTGACTCAAGCAGAACGGAAGGAACAAAGACCGGAAGAATACAACATTGGACAAGGCAAGGGGTTCACGTTATTTGAAATTTAACTTACGGCTTTTTAAAGTCGAGCATTTATAGTTTACCTCCCTTGAAAAGAAAACAAGGATGACAATTACTTAACTCTTTTACATTGAACAAAGATACAACCATTACTAAAATTCTTATAGTAAAAGACTAGATCATAATGGATAGAAGGTCGAGTCTTCAGTCCTCGGGTCTAGTCTTTGCAAGGAACCAGGGCACAAACTAACTTCAACACTGTAAAAAGGTCGTACCCAGTGCACAAGGCTCCTGCGTTAACAAATACTTCTCAACTTGTTCCAGCTAAAAGAAACAAGACACTCCAATGAGACGATAAAAACAAAAAGAAAAACCTTCGTTCTAGTTATCGAGACCTCAAGAAATTAAAACAAAAGTACAAAGTAACTCATATTTGTTTTCATTATTTGGTGGCTTAATTGTGTGATTTTCCATTATTTTCCTTTCCTTTTTATGTATACCGTTTTTTGTTATTATTTGGTATTTCAGGGAGTTTTAGCAGAATACACAACTCTGCAAAGCTGAAACAATCCAGAATACCATAATTTGTTGAATTACTTAATATTTTATTGAAATTTCAGTTCAAAGATGAAAACACAAAATTAGGAAATCTACTTAATCCAATAAACATATGAAAGATTACTGTTTGATTGATCAACATAATAATAATAATATGCAGAGAGTGAAAGGATTGAGAATTTTGTAAAACTGAATGGAGATTTCATGGTGGAAAATATTATGAACCGAGTCTGAGTGTGTAAAAAAAATCAAAGATTATATATATCCAATTTGAGAAGAAAAGGAAGGGAGTGATTAGGAGCAATTTACCTGACTGACTGAGAGACTGAGAGACTGAGAGGAAGGAGTGAGCTTTTCAGTTCAAAGCTTTTTCTTTCCTCTGTTGCCCGAATTTTCTGCTGAATGTTGCAACAGAAGAAGAAAGACAAGGCTCCTGCTTTCCTCTGTTTAGCTGGCTGTTTTAGGTGACTCCGTGAGATCTCTCTTGTATTTTTAGCTTCAATAAGTTTTTTTTTTTTTCAAACAAAAGGCTCTGGTTTAGTGTATAATATCGCTTGTATTTTAAAAGAAATTATATATTTTGGTTAAGAATTTACAACATTTTACTTTTTATATATTTTTCAGTTTTATGAAAAAGAAAAAGGGTTTAGGGTACCACAGAGGTTGGAAATGTGTTGTGTCTTTGTATAACGGTTGGGTTTAAACTTTGTAAGTGGCTAATCTATTATCTAATATAATAAAATTTGTGGTTTGAAAAAAAAAAAGAGATTAACTAGTGGCTTCGCCACAACATTCCACTATTTCGGGCTAAAAAGACTCACAGAGGTACTTCAACCTCCCCGTCATCGTGTGATTAACCAACGTCAAAAATCGAACCATGGACGTGCCATGTTTTTGTATATATATTGAGTGAAATAATAACATAATCTCATCGTGTTATGAATATACTTAAATACCAGTGATAAATTTGCTAAAAAAATAATGAAAGATGACAATGCTTTGCACATTTATGCCTAATAGGATGCACGTAGGTGGGTTGGTTTATACCAACCATACGTTAGATGCTTGGATGAGAAAATGATGTGACCTAAATGCCATTTAATTGTCATAGAAGTGAACTCAACCACCATGCAATAGCTTCATTTTCATTATTAAGAGCATCTCCACCAATGTGAAATTGCCTTTGTAATTGGATTGAATTGCCCTCCAATCTAAAAAATTTGCTCCAATAGTTGCAAAAGAGGGTGACAATTGGTAGGAGGGCAGCGGCATGGTAGCTGACCTGCCAATTAATGCAAAGGCAGGCGCCCCAAACTTTCGAAAAAATTTTAGTCGTAATAAGAACACGGATGGTACATCATGTGTTTTTATGTAAATGGTATAAAATTTTAGTTTTTAAGTTATTAACATTTTAACACACATATTCCATCATTTATATAAGGACACGTGGTGTACCGTCTCGTGACTATTAAACTGAAAAATCTCTTCGAACTTTCACCAGCTGACAACCGTGGGTCCCCCACGCGATGAAGACATGAGTCAAACAGCTCTTTCTTGGTGAATTCATACCATTGGATTTTCATTGGTCCATTAATTTGGACCGTTGGTTTTTCAACAGGAGAAAAATTGTCCTTTTGTAGTTAGCTGCCATGTGGCAGAATCCTGACCTTCAAACAGTTTTAATTTTAAAAATCAACGGCTAAGATTATTCTAACTGTAAAAATTCCAAAAAATACCCAAATTTTTTTCTATAAATACCCAAATATATATTAAAAACATAAATAAAAATTAAATTAAAAAATATATTTGTGAATAGTAACGTCCTTGCCTTTGCCTTTCCTCCTTCAAAACTGGTGGACTTGCATAAGCAATTACCGTTTTGAGTGAAAAGTAAGGGTAATGCCCTTGCCCTCCAATTGTCATTACCCTCCACCAACTAGTGGAGATGCTCTAAGAGGAGAAGAGCACGAAAGAGTCGAATTCTAATAATTGGTGAGGATTGTTCGTGAGGAAAAAAACTTGCATGAAATGAGATTTATATTTTTTTTTTATCTTCCTCTCTCGCATAACTAGTGTGAGGAGAGAAACCGACACTTTTTACATATGTACATATCAGCATTAGAAGTGGGCATCAAACTAGTCGAACTGCTCCAATTCAAATCAAAGTGGTTAGTTTCGTCGGTTTTGATGATTAGATATTCAAATGGTCTCAAAACTAAACTGAACCAAGCTATGTTGGTCTGGTTTCCACATTGTGTTGGTCCCCTATAAATAAAACCAAATAATACCTTTCTCATTTTATTCATATTTATATGTCATTTTTTATTTGTAAAATTAGAATTGAGATGGTTTGGTTTGGTTTGGTTTGGATTTACCCTTGTTTTTGTTAAAATTGAACCATATTGTTCTATTATATGTATAGTAATTGACAGTCTTAAAACAATCATGTTAAATCCTTGGATTCCCTTTTAAAAAATGCACGATGGTCCTTAAAGGGAGGCTGAAATGCCTCTGTGAGTATTTCCGACCCCCGTAAGGCTGGACTACCGTGACGAAGCCACCAGTCGATCCCCTTTTAAAACAAAAATTAAATGCAAAAATCCTTTGTAAACAATTATGTTGGTTTTGGATTAAACATGAATGATCAAGATCGTATTCAAAATCGTGAGCCAGTACTCACATTTCCATTTATATCTTTTATTGATACCAATAATGTGTGACAAAGTTTACAAATTCTATTTTACTTTTTTCAATATCAATTTTTTCTTTTTTGAACAAACGATAATCTACACTAAGTGAGAGAGGGTAGGTTTAGCCTCACAATGGACTACCAATAATATGAATCAAATTTGCCTTTTGCAAGAATTGAACCTAAGACCTCTCACTTTCAAGTGAAGATGAATACTATTAAACCATAATACGAAGTGGTTTTCAATATCAATTTTAAATATGAAAACAAAATCTAATTTTTTTTTTTTGTCAAACGATAATTTTTTGTTAGATTAGACCCTTTTCATAGGAGCTGTCAAAAATGCCACATAGACATATAACAGTAACAAATGACATACCATTTATTCCAATTGAGATATCAAAGATGACACGCCCCGATCCCGATGTCTGAAGGACAACGGGATGGCCACATGCTGGCTGACACCCGAGGGTGACGCAAGCCATTTTATGAATGCATATGTTGAGAACATGTAAAACATGCATATACATTTCGCGCGTAACAACGTAATGTAGTAATCAAGTACAAACCTTAATAAAATATAATATTCAACTATCAACAATGTAAAAGTGATAATGCATGACTTGTTCAGAGCACAACTAATTAGCAGTACAAGTGGAAGGAATAATAGAATGTGTTATTACAAGAGATGTCCTACGCAGAGAGGAGGACACAAATTCACTGATATGGGAATGCCTCATAGCTTGGGTCGTATGCCTCGTTCCTAGGTCCTGAGGGGGCACAAAACAAAACATGGGTGGACCAAGTTATTATATATATAATACTAAAGTAATTATTCTTCAACATACTAACCCCCAATTTAGAAAACTCATATAGCATAGTAAGTAATAGGTTTTCCGAAAGCCCTAGCATGCCATAAAACCTTTCATAAAACATATATCTTATAAAGTGTGCTTAGTAGTGGTTTCACAATCACCCGAAGGCCCTACATCACCCGACTGAAGCCATATATAAATATCTTTGGACCAAAGCCACTACATCGGCCCGATCGAAGCCATATATAAATATCATTCGCCCTAGGCACATAGTATGGATAACCACTAAGTAAGCACATAAAATCATGAACATAATCTTTCCAAAATATATCTTGTTAATGCACAAAACCGGAGGTCTTGGAACAACGTAAATCCGACCGTGAATTTGCAAGTAATGTAAATAACACAAGATATATCGTGGTTCACCCCAAGGTTTGGGCTACGTCCACACTAATTGTATTGTATTTCTCTGAGAAGTGAGGGAGAGAGAGAGCTCTGAGAGTAAGAGCGTTGGGAAGGTGAGGAGCCTTAGGAATTGGCATCTCCTAATTGTGAGGGTGATGGGTCATTTTATAGAATAAGGACTCCTCACTTATTACATATTTGCCCCTTCCTTTATCACATAATTACATTTAAGTCCCTCAAGTATTTGTATGAGGTCTAAATATGAGGCCCTAAATATGGTATAAATAGTAGTCCCCCAAGTTTTCAGTCAAGAGAGTCTTTTGGCTGGAGACTTGAAATTCAGTCAATGTGTGGGCTGAAGTAACTAGATGTTGCCTTGAACTGATGCTTGATATGAGGCGATGCTCAATCTGAAATGTTGTTTCAACTAAAAGTAGCATATGCTGCGAGGTTGCTCGGCTCATGACTTATGTTGCCTTGGTTGGCTCGGCTTGTGGCGTTGGAAGTGAGGGAGTCCCTTTTATAGAATAAGGGTTCGCTCCTCAATACATAAATGATGGGCTAGAGTCAATGCTCGTAGCGAGGCGGTTGCTCAGCTGGCGGCGTTGCTCTCTAATGAAGGTGGGGAGTCCCTTTTATAAAATAAGGGCTCGTTCCTCAATACATAAATGATGGGCTAGAGTCCCCCAAGTACTTTTCATGAGGCCCAGTTGAGGCCCCAATATATGTTACATAATGTAGTCCCCCAAGTCTTCGGTCAATAGAGTCTGTTGGCTGGAGACTTCAAATTGAATCCATGTATGGGCCGAAGTGGCGGTTGTTCGGAGGTGGTATTTGTATACCCTGCACTGAAGCTTTGTAAGTGAAGCTTTGTAAGTGAAGCTTTGAAGTTGGAGCTCTATAAATGAAGCTTTTGAAGCTAGAGCTTTTGTAAATGAAGCTTTTGAAGCTGTTTGACATGAGTGATGCTCATGAATGTTTGATTGACATGAGTGATGCTCATGAATGTTTATGTATGATTGATATAAGTGATGCTCATGAATGTTTGTGTATGATTGACATGAGTAATGCTCATGTATAATATGAAGTACTGGGCGTACTTTTGATCACTTGGTTGGTGACATGAATGGGAGTACATGTTGTACATTTCATCACCTGGTTGGTGGTAATAGTGGCGGGTTGCCGAATAATTTTAGAGTACTGGGCGTACTTTTGGTCACCTGGTTGGTGGTAATAGCAGCGGGTTGCTGCAAAATTGTGGAGTACTGGGCGTACTTTTGGTCACTTGGTTAGTGGTAATAGCGGCGGGTTGCCGAATAATTATGGAATACTGGGCGTACTTTTGATGACCTGGTTGGTGCTATTTTGGGCTTATGGGCTTTCGCCCTCTACACAACATTCCAGCCCATTTATTTTGGGCTTTGCCTTTTTTTTTTTTTTTACCTTATGATGGGGTTTATACAAATGTCTCCGAAAGATATGAAAAATAAATTACATCATACAAAAAACAAGAAAAGTAAACCACATCATTTTGGTAGGGTGTTTATTCCTTGCTTTTGCTTTCTC